TCCCACTGTGTTCGTAGGACAGCATGTGTAGTTATTTGTTTCAGTTATAGTAGTGTCAGTTTGGGTCAGTTTGTTAATTCAGTTGTTATTTATTTCAGTTTTTATTTACTTTATTTATCATGTAAGTACTAAGGGCAGATCTGTCCTTTCCATTATGTACTGAGCATAACCTATAAATAATAAGAGAGTGGCGGTGGCAATCATTTAGAATCTGTCCCTCCTTTCAACCCCTTGTGTTCTTCTGTTTCTCTTCTATTCCTTCTCTTTTCTCTCACTTTTCTTATGTTTTGTAAACCTAAAACCTATTAGGATTCAAGACTGATTATAGTCTTGATCTTCTACTGTTACTACTCTCCACCCCCTCATTAGGCCTTCTTGACCGGCTTTGGAAATCAATCTACTAAAGACATCTGCGATTAAGGTGAAAAGGAAGGGTGAAAGTGGGCCTCTATAAGCTAGAGAGGTCCCTGACCCTTACAAAGAAATGACTATTTTGCAGGCAACCATTGATCCATTTACACCATTTTCCCCCAAACCCACATTTCTTTAAGACCTCTAATAAAAAAGACTAGTTCACCAAATCATAGGCCTTCCCACATCCAGTTTACACATGAAGCCTTTGCTACCCCCCTCCTTTTCTCCTCTATGCACTCTGGCTATCAGAATCCAGTCCATAATTTGCCTATTGTGCACAAATGCCCCTTGGTTAGGTGTGTGTGATGATAGAAGGGAGTACCTCTTTTGGTCTCAAGGATAGCACTTTGGCCACTATTTTGTAGACACTTGTCACCAGGCTAATTGGCCTAAAATCTTTAGGGCTCAAGGCCTCAATCTCTTTTGGAATCAACACCAAAAAGGTGTCATCAAGTCCTCGGTTTATAATGCCTCTTTCAAAAAATTCAAAGAAAACCTCAAGAAATTCAAACTTGATTATCTCCCAACAATCTTGATAGAAAGCTAAGGTAAATCCATCCGGCCCTGATGATTTACATCTGTCCATGGAAAATACAACCCTCTTTATCTCTTCCAAATTAAACCTCCTCTCCAATACAGCCTTGTTAGATTCATCTAGTGAAGGCCACTCTAGGCCTTCCACTTCTAGTCAATCCTCATAAGCCTTCTTGAAGCAAGATTTAAAATGGTCGACAAAGACTCTTGCTATCTCCTCTTGATTAGTGACCTCCTCTCTCCCTAACCATTTTGAACACAAAATTCTTTTTCTTTCTCCCGTTTTCCATTGCATGGAAAAATTTAGTGTTACCATCACCCTCTTTTATCCGCTTGTACCTTGATTTCTGCCTCCAACTGATCTCTTCCCTTAGAAGGATTTCCTCTAGATCTTTTTTTCAGCTTCCACCTTTTATCCTTCTTTTCTTCGCTTAAGGCTGATTGAGATTCCTTTTTGTTTAAGAGATTCAATCTGGGTAATTATATCTTCCTTCTTTTCTTCCAATCTTCGAAAATGATCCTTATTCAATTTTTTTATTCCGTCTTTCAACCTCTATAACCTCTTATGAAATCTAATTCCTTTCCATTTCTGGTCCACCAACCCCCCCCATTCCATCAACCTTCTATCCTAGGTTTAAAATCAGGATGAGTAAGCTACCTATTCTCAAATTTGAATGGGGTGGGTCCTCTAATCATTTTTTTCCCTAGACTAATTGGGCAATGGTCTGGAGTTATTCTGGATAGAGTTCTTGTAGTTATGTTTTTCTGATGGGATTCCTAGTCTAGGGTGAACAAAAATCTATCCAATTTTGAGCAGGTTGGGGGGGGGGGGGAGGGGGTGGAAATTAGACCAGGTAAAGCTAGCCTGCAGTAGAGGAGGTTCCTTTAGCTCACATTAATCTACAAAAATGTTTCCACATGCTTGTGGTTATGTGTTGTTCTTGTAGAAGTAGTCAGGCCTCTCCTTCCTTGAAAAGTCCTTGATTATTGTCCTTTTCCTAACACTACCAATCCTTTCACATTCCAACTTATGATCTTCATTGCCAACCTTCTATTCCCTTTGGATTTTTACTCTGAGGCAGGGAACAAGGGGATTCTCTCCTTCACCTTGGTCAATGAGACCAAGTACAAATTCAAAAAATAAGACAAATTTAGGCCCTTTTTTAATACCGAATTACAGGGGAATTCAAAGCAAGGGAACCAAGAATAGGCGCAACAGTTGTGGGTGTCTTGTTGGCCATATCTATTGTTTTCAGCAAGAAGAAGAAGAAGAAGGAGGAGAAGGAGAAAGACATGAGAGCCAAAAGAATCATCTCTGGTGGCGCCAACTTTATTATTTAATAAAAAGGAAAATACAAAAATGCCCCTCTATGACATATAGTACAGATTTTATCACTCCCCCTCAAGTTGGGGCGTAGATTTCAATCATCCCCAACTTGCCACAAAGATCATAATGCCGTAGTGAGCGTAACACTTTAGTAAGAACATCTGCAAGCTGTTCATCAGAGCTAATGTAGGGAGTGCACACTTGCCCCTTCTCAATTTTCTCTTTGATGAAATGTTTGTCCACCTCAATATGCTTGGTTCTATCATGGAGAACTGGGTTGGCTGCGATGTTGATGGCAGCTTTATTATCAMAATAGAGTGACATAGGATCATCAAAAGGAAATCCTAATTCACTCAATAGGTTCTTGGTTCCTTTATTCTGCCTTTGCACTTGACTTGGTCACCACACTTTATTTTTTGCTTCTCCAAGTCATAGGGTTTTCACCAACAAAGGTACAATATCCGCTAATGGATTTTCTGTCATCCACTGAGCTGGCCCAATTTGCATCTGTGTACACCTCTACTCTCATGTGACCATGTTTCTTAAAGAGTAAACCTGTCCCTGGAAATTTCTTCAAGTACCTAAGAACTCTGTATGCTGCCTCTAGGTGTGCCTCCTTGGGTGCACGCATGAACTGATTGAGGACACTCACAACAAATGCTATATCAGGCCTGGTCATGGATAGGTAGAGAAGCTTGACTACAAGTCTTTGGTACTGCCTTGGATCTTTCAAGGACTCACCATTGCAATCCCCTAGTTTGTGATTTACATCTATAGGTGTGTCAGCTGGTTTAGCTCCTAGCTTCCGTGTATCCTTTAGGAGATCTAGGATGTACTTCCTTTGGGAAATGAAGATGCCTTGCTGAGAGTGAGCAACCTCAATACCAAGGAAGTAGCGCAAGTGCCCCAGGTCCTTTACCTCAAACTGTGTAGCAAGGAATTTCTTTAATCTCTGAATCTCTGAGACCCAATCTCTAGTGATGACAATATCATCTACATAGACAATCAAGGCTGCTGTTTTTCCTTGTTCCCTTTTTACAAAAAGTGTGTGATCAGATTGACACTACTTAAAACCCATCTGTTGAACTAGGTGAAACCTATTAAACCAAGCTCTCGGAGATTGCTTTAGACCATACAAAATTTCTTCAATTTGCAGACTTTCTTTTCACTTCCCTTAGCACAAAAAATAGGGGGTTGAGTCATATACACTTCCTCTTCCAAATCACCATTCAGGAAGGCATTCTTTATGTCAAGTTGGTGAAGCTCCCAATCAAAATTTGCAGCTAGAGACAGGAGAACCCGAATAGAGTTTGTGAAAATTTGAGAGAAAAAATGAATTGATTGTATTATCTTGGAAGGAGCATATACACAACTTTATATAGAATTACAGAGCTAATTTACAGGGTGATAAAATAGGAAACTAACTTTTCCTAAAAAACTAATTTCTATATCAGTGGGATTCTCCAATTAATATCCCATGATTCTAGGAAAT